CACTCCAGAAAGAAAGAGGAAGGGCTTCAGCACCAGCTCCTGCCCCTCATAGGTTCTCCTCCTTTCCTTTGCAGGTCTGGGATATCCAAAATCTGCAGAAAGTGAACACGATCCGAGCGCATGACAATCCTGTTTGCACTTTGGTCTCCTCGCACAACATGCTGTTCAGTGGCTCCCTCAAAGCCATCAAGGTAGAGCTCTGGGGTAGCTCCTCTTGGTTCACTTGGGGACTGATGCTGCAGGCTGTCAGGTAGCAGTTTCCAAATAGAAATCAAGTGACATTTTGGTCTGTATCTTATTACTCTGTTCTCTGGAGCTACATAGAGCAGCCAGTAGTGTGCTGTGTGCCGGTTAGAGATTTTCTGAGACCTGACTAAAAAGACCCTTTTGTTCCTTTTAATTCTGTAAACCTGAGGCTTCAGGTGGAGGACATTGGCACTTCCCCGATGTGTGATTCCCTGGGCTCCTTACACACCTACTCAGACCATTGGGAATTGTGCCTTGTGCCCAGAATTGGCTGGGGATTCAACCTGCCTGTTTGAAACCGCCTCCAAAGGATCTTGAGTCAGTGTTCTTTTCCCAAAGCATGCAAAAAATCAGGGAACAGCTTTGCAAGTTGCCCTTTAAAGCCTTGGCTAGACTCCATTGGTTCTGCTTCCAGCTCCTGGTGAGGCGGCTTATGGGACCGTCCATCTGTAAGAGAGCACATGCTCTTTTCTTTATCTGGGCCTGGAGTGGTTTTGCAGAGCGCTTGGGGCTGGAAGTGACAGCACTAAGCAAAAACAGCACATGGGGCCTTCTGTTTTTCTCATCCCCAGCCACTTTCTGCCACGTGAGCTGAGTGGGTCAGCAGTGCTGTTTGGAGCCCTGTTGATCCCTGTGTTCAGAGGGCTTCAGCCAGTGTTTTCCAGGAGCTGTGGGAATAGACAGGCTGTGAGGAGAAGTGCAGCGCAGGATTTGGTTTAGGTTTTCCAAGCCTATAGCTCTGCTAAGGAAGGGTCTGTGCCAGCAATAATGCAGGCTCCATTCAAACTTTCCCAGCCCTCGGGAACATGCTTATTCAGCATAGTTATTGTATCTGCCGGCCAGCGGGTTCAGCTGATTCCCATGGGGCTGGAGAACCAGCACAAGATTCCACTGTGTGAACTTTTAGGGCCCTGTACTGACTCTCCTGTGTGTGTGTTTGTGCTGTCCTTAGGTCTGGGATATCGTGGGTACCGAGCTCAAACTGAAGAAAGAACTGACAGGTCTCAATCACTGGGTGCGAGCACTGGTGGCTTCTCAAAACTATCTGTACAGCGGATCGTACCAAACCATCAAGGTGAGACTCGTGGCAGTTGTAAGCCATAGGCTGTCCCTGATACATATATGTATTCTGCAGCATGGGTTGGCTGAGCAGGGCAGAAGGCAGTGCTCAGAAGTGAGAACACTGCTGCAGCACTGCTGACATGCTAACTTTTACTGATTGCATCTTCGTAGGCACTAATTCAGGGCTCTGGCTGCTCCTTGTGAGTGCAGCTGCCCAGGGATGCTCACTAAGATAAAAGCGGCCACGCAGCCGTGGCGCCTCACACTGCCTCTGCAGCTGCCGCAGCGTTATCTGTGCTGACAGTGCTGCTGATAAGAGGAGAAGGTCACTGTCTGGCTCTAGAGTTACCATAAATCTGTACGTGCTTTGCAAAGTGCCCTCATCTGTGTTGGCTCAGGCTTTGATGAATAGTTCACCTCTCAGCATCTGGATGACACGAGAGAATTTGAAGTTTCCCTCCCTTATTAATAAATCCCCATTAATTTGCCCGCATCTGTTTCTTGTGCTCCCAGGAGCAGATTTGTGCACGTGTGTGCAGTCACAAACACAAAGCATGCAATCTCCGCCATTTTTTCAGCCTAGATATCCAAAGCTGGGCAGCTGAATAAGACAGCAGGACTTTGCTCATTGGCACTGAACGTTCCCAGCTGGACAGATCAGTCTGTAACACAGAGCAGGGCTGGGTGTCTGGGGGATGGTTTTAAGAGAGCTCCCTCCTGGGGAATGGTGCCTTTGTGGGTCTCATCCTTCACTCTGGTGGCTCTTTCAGATTTGGGACATCCGAAACTTGGAGTGTGTGCATGTGCTGCAGACATCAGGAGGCAGCGTCTACTCCATTGCTGTTACAAACCACCACATCGTGTGTGGCACCTACGAGAACCTCATCCATGTAAGGGCTGCAGGATTCAATATGTATGTCTTGGGCTGGGAGAGAGGGGCAAGGATTTGGGAGCCTGGCTCTGCTGGTGCACCCAGAGCTTGGAGATGTGGATGAACATCTTGTAATAGGTTATGATGACCTGCTCTCCTTCCACAGGTTTGGGACATAGAGACCAAGGAACAAGTCCGCACACTGACTGGTCACGTGGGTACAGTTTATGCCCTTGCTGTCATCTCCACACCAGATCAAACCAAAGTCTTCAGTGCATCGTATGACCGGTCTCTCAGGGTATGTGTCCGGGGCTGTGCAGCTGGGTCTGTGCTCTTGGCACTGTTGTTGTGACACAGCATTAGAAGGGAGAGGATGGATGAGTAATCCTCTTCTGTCTCGTGCCTTCTGTGTGCCCACAGGTGTGGAGCATGGACAACATGATCTGTACTCAGACGCTGCTGCGGCACCAGGGCAGTGTCACTGCCCTTGCAGTCTCCAGGGGCCGCCTCTTCTCTGGCGCTGTGGACAGCACTGTAAAGGTTGGTTTCCTTAGGCTTCTCCGTGATGCTTTGGTCTCTTAGCTAGAACTTGGGTGTTAAATGAAGGAGGAGTTGCCTTTAAGTAAACAAGGAGATGAGTTTCAGCGGGTGGGAGGTTGAGCTCCTGGCAGAGGTGCTGTGGGGGCTGAAAACCCAAAGAGAAACTCCATGAGATGACGAAGAGAAACCAGTGGAGCTGCTCAGAACTGTCATGACCACGGGTTGCTGTTGTCTCCTCCAGGTCTGGACGTGCTAGCGAGAGCCACCCTAGTTCTACACACTGAAAGACCAAAAATGCCTCCCTCCGTTGGCCTGCTGGGTGATGCCACCACTCCGAAGAACTGCTGCAGCTCCTCTCTGCACTGAGCACTGCCCGCTGCTGCCTGTCAGCTGCGGTTCTCCCCCCTTGCAAGGACCCCGGCGGGCAGCTCTCAGGATAGATCTGGCCCACGGATGCTCCAGTTGCTCCCTCGGATCTGCCACGTGGGAATGCAGAAGAGCTGCATGGTGCCCTCACCGCAGTGTGCCGGTCATATTGGCCAGCACCGGGACCCAGTGGTTTGGGTGGGCGCAGGTGGGGGCTGGGAGGTGGTCCCATGTAAATGGTAGAGCTGAGCATTAGGCCGTGCCCTGGGTTAGGTCCCCAAGCCCTTTCTGTCTCTAGTATTTAATTTTACTGCCAAGATGTCAGGCTGATCCATCTGGGAAGAGGTGTTTTCTTGAGTAGCCAGGTACGATTTTTACGCCACTGCTAGTTCTCAGATAACACAAGCCCATTGTTCACCGCCCTGTAATAATGGTTTCCACATTAAAGAGAAAAAGCCTCTGTTGCATTTTTACTCACATTTTCTACTGTTTTTAAGATTGTAATATAGATTTGATTATTTCTTCATTGACAATAAAAGTGGAAAGAGTTGTTCCTGGCCGGCGTGAGTTTTTGCAGGACGGTGGGCAGTCAGGTGGGGAGCACCCACAGCCCTTCACCCCAGGCTGGCACTGGCTCCCCCCAGGGCAGAGGCACAGGGGAGCTCTGGGCTGTGCCTCATATCCACCCAGCTCTGCACAATGAGGACCGGGAGCTCTGCGGCACCACTGTGACCCCACCATCCCCGATGGCATCAGGACCCTCGCACCAGGAGACACCTCTCGGGTCACAAACAGGGGTGGCAGCCCGGCAGGGTTTTATTTTTATTTTTTTTTTTTATTGTTTTTCTTTAAATATTTGTTGCCAGACTTTGTATAGGAGCAAACTTCTTCACAGCACCACGAGCCATCTACTATTCAGAATAGGAAGAATAAGACGAGTAGAGGTGAAATCTAAGCACAGAAGAGCAGGGAAAGCACCAAGATGCATAGCTTGACAGATGGGATACGATACAGAGTCCATAACTTAATCATAAAAAATATATATATGTATATATCCATCATGTAGAACTTTATGGATTTTTTTTTTTGGTAGATACATATTTTTTTTTTTTCCTTTCAACAGATATTTTCAGGCGGGTGATTTTTTTTTTTTCTTTTTTTTTTTTTTTTCTTTTTTTTGTTATTTTTAAAGTCTTTTTTTTTTTTTTTTTTGCGTGTGTGTGTGTTGTGATTTTTTTTATTATTATTTTTTAATTTTTTTTTTTTTTTTGTAAAGAAATTTCAAAGTTGTGCCAAACACATCTGGATCAGCGACCACAATGGGAAGGAGGGGGGGCAGGGCGAGCCCAGCCTGCGCGGCTCGGGGAAAAGAGAGGTATAGCAACACTTTGTTGGGAACCACAAGCAAAAAACAAAAAGATGCATTCATCAGAACTCAAGCGACTGAACCAGACTCCTGTTTATACATGAATGTACAGCCGTGCGCCGGGACGCACGCACACACCGCGTGCACACACACACACACACACACAGAAATGCCAAAAAAAGTCAAACGAAAACCTGAAGACACTCCGGAAAGAAACGAAACACCTCCAGTAGAAGAGTTAACAAAAACCTCCATAAAACAAGGCACATCCTTTGAGTTCTTAACTGTGTAAAAAGAAAGACGGTACACTGAAACCCAACGGAAAACCCGAACAGAACGGCTTGCACGTACCTTCCACCCAGATAAAGGTAAATATTGTGCTACTCGGAGAATGAGTTTGCCACAAGACACACAGCTTAGTATAATCTAATAGTTTTTCTCAAGCTAAAATCCAGTTCTCTCTTGATTTTTTTTTTTTTCGTTTAAACTGCTTTATATATAATTGCTAATATTTTTTTTTTAAATCTTTTAAATATATATTTGTTAAAGTTTATTCTTTTTTTTTTTATTATTATTATTATTTGGGAGATGGGGGAAATACTGCTTTATATCTCTCAGTCGTTTTTCCCCTCCAATAAATTAATACTTCGTTATAGCTTATGACGTCCTCTCCCCCGGCGGCGAGGGGCTGGGCAGGGGCACAACCTGCTGCTCCCCACCTGCCCCAAGCAGGAGCTCATCCATTTGCAACGGTACCGACAAAAAGCCCCTCTCCCACCCCGACGTGAAGAGCCCACAGCAGCAGCGCGGGGCTGGAGAGCAGCGGGTGCAGGGATCCGGGTGCTGTGGGGGTACCCAGCACCGTGCCCACCCCAATGCTCGCAAACGACAAAGGAAAAAAATGACAAAAAGAGAAAATGAAAAGAAAAATTAAAGAAACCTAAGTGCATCGCCCACCCGGACTCGCCACCAGAACAAGAGGGCACGGGTGGATGAATGCCAGCAGTGCCGCACTGGGGTTGTGCTACATTCGGGGACCGGGGCCGGCAGGGCAACCACGGGGCCACCGCGGGTAGGGAGAGAAAACCCCAAACCCGGATCTGGTGCGAGCAGGGCGCTTCAGGCCGGGTGGTGTTGCTTTGCTTCTTCTATTGTATTTTTTTGCTTCTGCAGAAGGGAGTCCTGCCGGAGCCGTGGCGGGCGGGCGCCGAGTCCGTGAGCACAATCCTGAGGTATCTTCTTCTTTGTGCAAACCCCGAGGGATGGGAGGTCCAGGAGGGGACGGCTGTACAAAGGGGATGGTGGGGCCGGGAGGTCGCGGATCATTGTGCCCTTGTGCCCACGTAAGCCCTGAGGTTCGCGGGGCCGTCGCGCCCCTCACTCCAGCATGGCATCCAGCTGGTCGGCCAGGTCATCAAACATGCTGCCGATGTCATCCAGGATGCTGCCTGTGCTCTTTGCCTCTGCAGTGGAGCTAGAAGAGTGGTGGGCACTGGGTCAGTGCATGCACTGGGACCACGTGGCTACCTCTGCCCTGTGCCATGGCCCTGACCCTCTGTGGTCAGCATCCCCAGTGCCACCACAGCCCCAGTGCCCTCCTATGCCCCAGTGCCCTGTCCCCAGTGTCACCACCACCGCCAGTCCGTGGTACTCATCCTCCCAAACCACCATCCCCACGCAGCCCAGAGCGCAGCCCCCAGCCCTTGCTCAGCTCCCTGCCATACACCGCATCCTCGCTGCCCTTACTCTGTTGCCTGGCTGTCCTCCTGCTTGATCTTCTCCTCCACTGCCTGCAGCGCAGCAGCCAGGGATGCGCTGGTCTCCTCCAGCTTTTGCTGCACCAGCTCAGGGCTGGCACTGTCAACAGAGGGTCCAGCGATAGCGGAACGCGGCGGTTTCACTGGCACCTGCTGGGGCTGAGCGCCGGGTGAGAGGGGCTTGGCAGGGCTGGAGCAGAGTGAGGGCGGTGTGCTGGAGGGCTTGGCAGTAGCACCCAGCTGCCGGGCGGGGGACGGAGTTGGCGTGGAGCCTGCGCTCACCGACTGGATGGCGGCATGGGGCTTGGGGGGCTTGGGGGCCGTGGGGGGTGGTGTGGGCTTGGGGGATACCGGGGGTGGTGTGCCGTGGACCCGCTTCACCTCTGTGGAGAGAAGGGAGAGGGAATGGGGTAGGATGGCTGCAGTGACGATGCAGTGCCCCGAGGGGCTCCCCACAGCCAACCATCCCCAATGCTCACGAACACCTACCTGGGCTGCCTGGGCTTGGGATGGGCATCTTTTTGGGGATAGGCACTGGTGGCCCAGGGACTTTCTGCGCTGGCTGCGTTAGCACAGGCTTGGGGGACACCGGTGGCTTGAAGGGTTTCTTGGGCTCGGCAGGCGGTGGGGTGAAGTCAGGGCCATCGGGGCGGGTGGCAGGCGGTGGGGTTGGGGGAGTCTCAGCTCCACTCAGCTCTGAAGCTGGCCGCCGCTTGACAGTGCCGGTGCCATTCTGGTAGACGACAAGAGGGGCTTGCTCCAGCGCTGGCTCCTTGTCCTTGGCCTTGGGCCGGCGCTTGACAGTGTCAGACTCGGTGAGGATGAAGCGGACGCTGTCCTGCTGGCTCTGCCGGGCACGGATGCGCCTCTTAAGTGTGGCACTGGCCTCCACCTTGGCCAGGTCTCCATGGCGGTGCGCTGGGGACAGCCCTTCTCCTGCCTCCACCCGGGCTGGTCCCAGGGCACGTGGTCGCTGCTTGATGGTGAGGTTGCCCTCCTCAGCAAAGGGGATTGTGTCTGGAGAGCCACCACGCTCAGCCCGCAGACGCTCGCTGGGGCCATCAGCGCCTGTCTCAGAGCGCACACTGTCGGCACGCTCGCGGCGTGCGGCCGCCACCAGCCCGGTGACAGGACCGCTGATGGTCCGGCGCCGGTTCACAACCTCCCCATCCAGCCCAATGGCCTCCTTGTGCTTGACGGTAGCCAGGACAGTGGCCACACGGGCACGCTCAGGGCTTCCCGGGGGAGCTCCTGGCTGCAGATAGTACCCATCGGGCCCCTTCCCAGGCACACCAGGCCCAGGTGGTTTCTGCAGGGCCAGCGCCCGCGCCCCACCACCGATGGAGGACATCTCCAGCATGGCTGCAATGCTGCGCACGCTGCCGGCGCTGCCCGTGTCCACGCTGCCACCCAGATCGCTGGCACGCCGCTGCTCCTGACGACTCTCCCCCTCAGTGCCAGGGGTTCCAGCAGCCACCTCACCTTCACCATCCTTGGGGAAGTCCTCGGCCATGCCAGCACTGGATATAGCAGAGCTGGAGCGCTTGGGGGGTGGTGGCGGGGGCCCCTTCTTCTTGGGGCGGATGGCGAAGGACTGGCTGCGGTTGACATTCTTGTCACCACCAGCAGGTGCCCGCACTGAGTGGCTGCGCCCCACGCGCCGCTGCACAGTAGCATAAGGCCCCGCGTCAGGCACCAGCAGCTCGTCCCGCTCCTGCTCGCTGTCGGAGGTGGCGTAGCGGTTCAGGCTGTGTGCCCTTTTCTTCGGCCTCCCCGGCTCCTCCTCACCCTCACCTGCTGGTGGCAGGCACAGCACCGGCACTGAGACGGGCAGGACCGGCACCCCTGGAGGGGCCCCCTCACCATCGGTGGGCTGCGGAAGGACGTAGGCAAAGCCACGGTGCGTGGGAGACTGGGGCAGGGAGCGGGGTGATGCGGGGCGCTCACCCGGTGGCAGCAGCTGTGGAGTGGGCTTCACCTTGGCAGTAGCATGGGGTGCTGATGGGCCCTGTGGGGAGGGTGGACGTGGCTTGCCAGGGGTCTGTGGTGGTGTCAGGTGCCCGGCAGTAGGCGGGAAGGCCTGCCGGGGTTTGCCGGGCACTGGCGGAACACTGGCACGCTTGACAGAGTGGCCGTGCCGTGGCTGGCGGAGCTCCTTGGTTGGCGGCACAGGGGGACCCTCGGGGGCCCCCTCTGCCAGGTACTCCTGGCTCTTGGAGATGGCGGTGCTGGCGGGGGCACGGGGGCCATCACCCAGCAGCTCCTGTGAGCTGCTCATCTGCCTGGCGCGGCCGCCCAGCGCTGGTGGTGATCGGTAGCCAGGGGCTGCAGGGTTGGCTGGTTTCTCGGGCGTCTCCTCAGGTCCTTCACCTGTCATGGCCACCTGCAGCTCACTGCTCAGCTCGCTGTCCTGGAACGTTGTCATCTTGGGTGACTGGCACTCGGGTGGCTCAGGTGGTGGGGACTCAATGGCCAGCACCTCTGGGCATGCCGCTGCCTTCCTCTTCAGTGTGCCTGGCTCATACTTGCCCAGCTCAGCCCGCTGCAGCTCTGCCAGCTTCTTCACTGCGAGCATCAGCTTCTTCTGGTGGCCTGGGGATGGCACAAAGCATCAGTGTCAGCCAAGGAACCATGGGCCACCACAGTGCTGTGTCATGAGACCTTACCCAGCTTGGTGATGCCGATCTCCTGCAGGTCCTCCCAGGTGATGTCAGTGATGAAGTCGATGTTCTCGTAGCCGTTCTCCACCAGCACCTTGTAGTACTGGGACAGGCCAATCATGGAGAGCCACAGCGCCAGGTTGGCCTGGGGGCGTGGGACACTGCTCAGCACCAGGTGGCACCGCATGCAGTGATAGTGCCACATGTGTCCCTGTGCTCACCGGGGAGGGCCTAGGGAACTCCTGCACCTCTGTGCTCCAAGGACCCCTTACTATGGTCCAGCTGATGGGATAACATCAAGGCGCAGACAGCATCACATCCATGTGGTGACAGCTGTCATTGGCCCAATGCCAATGCCAGGGACTTCAGCAGGGGATGTGCAGCTTCAGGACCATGGGATATGGGCTTCATCTGGGAGCAGTGAGCCAGTTCCCACTGCCACTCCCCCTGTGACAGCCCTCCCTGGATGGAACCTGCTGCAGGGCTCCCAGCACCGCTCTGGATGTGGCACTGTGGCACCATGGCACCCGGCCCCGCGCAGCCCTTACCGGCTTGTACTCGGGCAGCCACTCGGGGATGTTGAGGTTATTGATCTCAGAGGCAATCTTCTTCCTGTGCCCTGGCTTGGTGACACCAATGGCCGTGAGGTCCTGAGGGAGAGAGGAGAATCAGGATCACTCTCCACAAGCAGGTGGCAGTCCCAGGACTGCCCTTATGGCCTCACCTCTGGCGTCATCCGGCTGATGGTGGTGATGTCGTAGCCGGCGTTGATGAAGTTGGGTGCATAGAGCTGCAGCTGGAACTTACACAGCCACTGGTACACAGCTTCTGAGCTCTAGAATGAGAAGAGTGGCGTAGCTCGGGGCAGCCTTGGCACAGGGCTCTGTTGCTCTGTTCTTGTCACAGCCCCATGGGCTGTCCAGCTGCATGCTGGCCTCAGATCAGTCAGCACTGCAGAAAGGCCATGTAGCCCCTTGGCTTAGGCGTCCCATGGGCACGGCATCATGGCTAGCACCAGAACCAGCACTCAGCCACGCCAGCACAGGTGGCTGTGGCACAGCTCTGCCTGCAGCTGTTGGTGAGGGGGTGGCTGTGCCTATGCCCCCCATCACTGTGAACTTCACAGGGTACCCAGTGCACTCAGTGCTCCCCGCTCACCTTCCCCTCTGATGGTGGCTCCATCTTCTTCAGCTGCTGCTCGGCAGGTGGCTGGGGTGCATAGGGGGAGCTGGCCACACTCTGCGACCGCGACGAGCCTGCTGGGGGGGCAGCAGTCAGTGGGGAATGGGGCCACGGGTCTGCCGGGCCTCATGGTTCTAGGATCTTGGTCAGGCCCTCCTCAGTGCATCCCTAAGCTGCAGCCCCCAGACTCTGGCTGTGTAAAGCAGGGAGCAGAACCACTGCCAGGGGCAACAAGGCTAGGATAGGCAGAGGAGAGCAACATCCAGCCCCATGCAGCAGGGTGCCCTTACCTGGGCTGTGCTCCCTGGGACAGTACCATCCCTGTGCAGATGGTGCCCAATAAGGCCAGCAGGCTATCCCCAGGCTAACAGAGGAGGCTGTGCTGGCACAGAGCTCTGCAGAGTACCCAGGTCTCCCTGGCCCCCATGTCATTGTGAGCACAGCTCCCACAGACCGTGGCATCATTGGGGCATTAAGAGGATGGCGCTCACCTGGGGTAGCCAGGTGGAGGCTGAGGGCCAGAGTGATTTGATGGACCCAGCAGGAGGCAGACCCCTCCCCAGAGCTGCTTTCCTCGTCTGCCCACGTGCCCCAGGCAGCAGCCTGAGGTCCTGCTGCCCAGAGCCATCTGTGCCCACTCCTCCAGTCATGCCACTGGCACAGGGCTAGGCTCAGCCTCACTGCAGCCAGGAGACCCAGCACACTGCCACTAGCTGCCCTGTACCCCTGCACCTCAGCACAGGCATCCAGACACCCCTTGTCTTCAGAATGGTGGCCTTCAGCAGCCATCAGGTTGCACAGAAATTTCAACCTCATGTTTCTAATCCAGATCAACAAGAGCATCTCCTTCCCCCTGCTGGTAAGTGCATCCTCCTTCTATGTAATTGCACGCTGCGGGAGCATTTTCCTCTGTGTGTGTGTGTGTGTGTGTGCGCGCGCGCCTGCATGCATCCCTCTGGCACCTGCCTGCATCCTCCTTGTGTGTGTGTGTGTTTGTGCACGCTGCTCCCCCAATTCATGCGCATCCCCCAGGCGCACGCATCTCCCCCCAGTCTGCATCTCACTCGCGTGGGCACCTCCTCACACGTGCCTCCCTCTGCCATGTGCCTTCCCACCACATCCATCTCCCACTCATGTGGGCACCTTCCACATCTGTGCACTCCCTCCCCAATACCTGCACTCCCCCAGCATGCACACCACCCCCATCAACGCCTTCATCCCCCTATGGATGCACCTCCCCCTTGCAGCCTGGGCACCCCCCCGGCACGCACACCCGGCACGCGAGCATCGTCCTCCTGCGTCCCCCACGTGCCTCCCCCGCGGCGTGGGCACCCCCGGCCCGGCTGCCCCCTGCCGAGCCCCTGGGCGGCGAGACAGCGGCAGAGGGGGGGCCGGGGAGGGGAAGGGGCCGGGGAGCGCTCTCGCCCCACCGCCCGCCCGCGCCCCCCCCTCCCGCCCCCTCCCCACGGTGCCCCCACTAACCGAGGCAGGAGAAGGCCTGGCAGCAGCCGAAAGGCGAGAGAGTCATTTTTTACCCACACGTTTTCTTCTTTTGCGCCGGGTGCCGCGGCAATAAAAAAAAAGACAAATCACTCAGCCCACGGCAAGCCCGCGGCGGGGCCAGGGCTCCTCCTGCTCCCAGCAGCCGGGCCGGCAGCACGCACCTGCGGGGATGTCCTGCGCCTTGGCCGGCCCATCGCCCACGGCAGCATCTTGCGCAGAAGCCTTCTGGGAAAGGACCGTTGCCAGCAGCTGAAAAACACCCCGAGAAGGGGGGAGAGCAGGCGGCAGTGAGGCGAGCGGGGAACCGGGGGGTGCGCGGCGGGCGCTGCGGTGCTGCAGGGAGGAGCGCGACGGATCTGGGTTGCGGAGGGGAAAGCAGCGCTCGCAGCACATATGGTGCTCGCGGGTGGTGGGAGCCTGCGGCACCGCGGCACCCCGGCGCACGCCGGAGAGGGCTGCCAGCACGGCCCCCCCTGCACGGTGCAGCCGTGGTGGCCGTCGGCATGGGGGGCACGCACTGCGCTCAGTGCCCAGCCGGTCACAGCATCACACCTGTGGGGAGGTGGGCTCATGGGGCTCCCCGGGATGTGTTGGCATGGGAAGGGGCTGCTGTGCACGGAGTGCAGGGGGCAGCGAGCAGTGCGTAGCGTGCAATGAATGGTGGGCAATGTACAGTGCCGAAAGCGCAGCGTGCGGTGTGCTGTGCGCGCTGTGCAGCGTGCGCTGTGCGGTGCAGAATGTGCATCACGCAGTGTAATGTGTGGCGTGCAGTGGGCACTGCGTGCCATGCAGAGGGCAGCGTGTGGGCAGCAGCGTGCACTGGGCAGCAGCGTGCAGCGAGCAGATGGCAGCGTGCAGCGCGTAGCTGCAGTGGGCCGCGTGCAGATGGCGGCGTGCAGTGTGCGGTGCAGTGCGCAGTGCAGATGCATCCTCAGAGAGGCAGCAGAGATGCACAGCTCGGGCCTTGGCCAGATGCTGCACTGCTAGTGGGGGCTGAGCTCAGCGAGCAGCCAGCATGGGGGTGGAAGAGGGTGGCCGGATGGTGACAACCATGATCCGCGGCACTGAATGCCAACAGGCAGTGACCAGCTTCCCCACGCCACACTGAATGCCAACAGGACCTTGCAGCACGAGGTGCAGTATTGATCTCAGCAGAGGCTCTGCTCATGATCCCAGCTGCCAAGGAGCAAAGTCCCACCACGAGCCAGCACCGATGCCGGAGCCATGTGACACTGTGTGTCGGTGCACGGCCTTACCTTGACGCCCTCGGAGCCAGCATGCAGGGCATGCGCCCCGCTGCCAGTGCTCTGCCCACTCCCGGAGCTGCGGGCTGAGGCCACGCTGCCTGTGCTACCCAGGCTGCTGCGATCGCCACCTGCACAGGGAGAGGAGATGCCATCAGGGATCCGCATCCAGGCACGGGGACACTGCGGTGCTGCGATGCGTGCTGCCCTGGGAACAGGAGGGAAATGCCCACTGTACCTGTGAAAGGTTTCCGCAGCACCCAGATCTCCTCGGTGGGTGCAGGTGCAGCCGATCCACCCTGCGATGGTGAAAGGTGGGATGGGCTCATGTCAGCCCCACGGGACCCTTGGTGGCAGAGCAGAGAGAGCAGTGTCAGGCAGGTGTGACCCAGCAGAAGGGGCTCACAGCAGTGTGGCGTGGGGAGAGGTGAGCCCTGGCCCTGGGCCCATCACCACCATATGCAGGGGAAAAAAAAACAGTCAAAGGTTTTGGGGGATGCCAACGCTGTACTTCGGTCCTGTCCTCCTCAAGCAGCCAGCATGGAGTGACCATGTGCACATGGCCAGAGCCATGGCCCCGTCCTGCCAGGCACCAGTGAAGGACAGATCCACTGCAGGAGTTAGGAAAGAGGGACTATGTTGTCCCTGTGCACAGCAGGATGTGAACATGACCCACTGCAGGAGACAGGAGGCAACAGTGAGGACTCAGGCAGTCAGGACCACAGCCCCCACCCCATTGTCCCCAGCTGATGCAGCACAGCTGTCCCCATGTGGCCACCTGCCCCCATGTGAGGGTGCTGCAGGACCAGACACCAGAGTGCTGTGCTCCCCAGGGTTCCCTACAGCAGTAGGTGACACGGGGGTGACCCAGCTGCAGTGATGAGACCCAGCCCCATGCACTTCAACCCACCCCACAAGTGCAGCTCCATCAATGTGCTCCTCCATCGCTCCCTCCAGCCCCACTGGATCTCACTCACACTAGGCAGAGCTGGAGATGCCCAGCACGGAGCTCAACCCGTACCAACCCCCTGCAGTGAGATCAGGGTGTAAAACAGCATCGCGTGGTGATGGAGAGCAGCCCTGTACTGGATCTGTGCCCAAGCTGCACCCCTGTGCCACTGCAGATATTTTTATTCATGAGACCACTTGCCCAGCTCCCAGCCAGGCTGGAGCACAGGGCAGATGGTGCAAGGTGATAAATTCATGGTAGGAACGTGAGCAGGAAGCTGACAGCCACGGCGCTGTTAGGTTGAGATGTGCCCACTGTGTGTGCTGCGGCCATCTCACTGCAAGAGAAAATCTTAGGGAGCAGTGCTGCATCCCCATCCTCATCACACTGGGAAGCCACAGGCGTGGCCCAGTGCTCCTCCAACACACCGTGTGCCTCACATTGTGCAAGCACCCCCAGCCCCAAACAGCTGGCAGAGGCCCCTGAGGGCATGGCACAGTGTGCCAGCACAGAGGCTACAACCATGAGAACTCTTGGCTCCATATCTGCTCCCCAGTCACCATCACCAGCACCCACACCAGCAATGCCCATCACCTGCCTGTACCACAGAGATAGTCCCAAGGATGACGCTGGTCACTGTCTGTGGGGATCCAGCCCTGAGAGCACCCTCAGGACAGTGCCAGCCCCGCTCTGAATGCACAGACCCAGCCCTGTGGGCGCTGAACACTCCGAGAGGGGATGCTACAAGGGCAGGGGCTCGTCGCTCCTGCTGTCCCCTCCCAACCCGGCACCAGGAGGCTGCAAAGTGTTTTTGGGGGTGGATGCTGCGGGTGGGATAGCACACGGTCAGGGGCTCAGCGCCGCATCCAGAGCTGCCCGCGTGGCCAGGGATACGGGGGATGGGATGTGGCTGCAGCGGGGTGACAGCAGCAGTGCAAGGAGAGGGCAGCAGAGGGGCCGCTCTGCATGCACGCGTGCACACAGCCGCACGCAGCCGCGCACGCATGCACACACACACGCATGCACACATCTGCATGCACGCACCAGCACACGCCTGCAGGCGCACACACACCCGCGTGCAAGCACACGGCAGGCACCAAGGCACGGGGGAGAGAAGCCGAGCGGATAGAAAAGAAAAGAATAGATACACACTTCAAAAGAAAGAAATCCATCGAGAGAATGAAGCGAGCGGTGAACTACCTTGTCCGTAACGCGGCTCGTCGGCACTGCTAGGGGAGAGCCTGTGATAGCCAAAGGAACTGAAAAGAGTCTGATGGGAATGTGGTGGTGGAGGTGGAGGTGGAGGCAGGGAATGGAACGGATGGGACGAGGCGTCACCGTTTAGCACAGCAGCCCCGTAAGCCGGGAGCGGGATCTTTTGGTACTGTTGGGGGATTGTTACAGTCTCCCATGAACCTGATAACAAAACATAACAAGAGACAAAATGAAAAGAATCAAAATAACAGAGACATGTTCAGCACCACCAAAAAAAAAAAAAAAAAAAAAAAGAAATAAAAAGGAAAAAAAAAAAAAAAAGAATGAAAGGAAGAAAAAAAAGAAAATAAAAATAAAAAAACAGCTAACAAAATAAGCAACCAAAAGAAATTTGGAGGAGGCGGAACCGAGACCCAACTGAGAAGGAGTCGAGCCACGAAGCAACAGCAGAAGTCAGTACACAGCACAGGGCAGGGCATGACCCATGGGCACAGCCTGCAGACCCCCAACACCTCACAATGACACTGGGGGACATCGAGTCCCCACAGGGCTCCCAGGACGCCACGTGCCCTGCTGCAGGAGTGGGGCTGCAAGGGCGGCACCGCTGTGCCAAGCCCTGGAACAGCCCCTGTGCCATGTGGGGCTGTGTTCCTGGAGCTGCCACAAATCCTACACTCTGGAAACACCACTGCAACAAAGCCCTGGAGACACAGGCCTCGTCCCTGCCTCTGCAGCACTAGCATGCAACCTGCTGCCAGGCAAGGAGGACTGTGCAGATCGGTGCAGCCTGGCATGGTTCCGCTCCCCTGGACCTCACTGAAACGAACAGTGGGGTGACGTGGGGCTGGGAACATGCAGCAGCCCTGGGCAGTGAGCTGGTCAGTGCACTGCCTTTGAGTGCATCACATCAGTGCTGTGCCTGCACCACCACACTGCTCCTGGCACTGGGCACAGCCAAGAGCACCCCCTTGGGATGGGGAGCCACACGGCAGGGAGCAAGTTCCTCTCCCTGATACGGTCCCTGGCCACGGATAAGTCCTAGTGGGGCAGTGCCAGGTCCCTGGCACCAGTATCCAGCCCCACGTGCAGCCGCTGGGACCGTCCCTGAGCACCATGTTCCTAAACCACCGTAACACCCCAAACCATCCCCATGCACAGACAAAAACACTGCCCACCCAACACTCCTGGGCCGCCGGCACTGACCTCCCTCCCACACACACAGCGAGGGCATTGACTCTTTACATAACTGGGGGCTCTGACCCCCATACAGCAGTGTGCCCACATAGTGGAGACGCACAACGGGGGCTCCAGCCCCACACACCTGTCCCACCCTGTGCGGTGGGGACACCAAGTTCACATGCACAATGGGGACACTGCCCTTTGGTTCAGCAGTGGCAATGCAGCCCCTGAGCCCCAGCCCGACAGGAGGGTCCCTAGGGCTGGGCTGCTCCTTGGGACTGGTTTGGGAGGTAGAGGTGGGGAAGTATTTGCCTGTTCGCTTGCTTATGGCTTCCACGAGGCTGGAGGGGAAGTAGCCCACGCGGTCGTTGCCGGTCCGATTGTCGTGGATGCAGCCCTTCCAGCGCCCGTCTGCATGCTGCTCCAGCACCTATGGGCATGGAGTGGTAAGGGCAGGGCTGTGCCTCCCCACCTGCATGATGTCCCCCCAGCAACCACACTCACAGTGATGACGTCTCCAGCTTTCACATTGAGGCTGGTCAGGTCGTAGTTGTTGCAATAGTCCTTGACAGCCCGCACCTGCAGTGCAGCTGAGGCATCTGTGGGAACAGAGGGCAGTGTTGGTGGGCGTTCAGTGCTGAGATCCCCCCTGGAGGCTCTCTGATGGAGGTGTCCCACAGTTGATCCCAAGGTGCCCACCCTGCTCCCTCACCCCGCAGCATCTGCTTGATCTCCTTGCTGGCCTGGCTGGTGGTGAACTGGTTGACAATATCCAGAGCCGTCTGGTTGTACGTGTTCCGGACGTGGGCATTAATTCCACTCTGCAATGATATGGGGAGAGAGAGCTCGGGATGGCACACAGCTGGTTGAGACCCTCAGGGCCACTCAAAATGGAGGGAGTCATGCTGCCATGGGCACAGCTCGCTGCCCTAGGCCCTCCCACCAGGAGGTAAAATCCCACTGGGGTCAACCCTGTTCTGCACTCCTTCCCTGGGAGAGCAGAGCTGGGGGAGCCCTTACATCCAGCAAGAGCCGCACCACGTCCGTCTTGCCACACAGGGCTGCCTCGTGCAGTGCTGTGCCCGCCTTAGTCTGCCTGTTGATGTCAATGCCAGCTTGCAGGAGGAGCCTGTGGATGCACAGATAGGTCAGCAAAGGGTGGGATGGGAATGATGTCGGCCCGCTCCCTGCACATTAGAGCACCCACCGGATGATGTCGATGTGTCCATTCTTGGCCGCAAGGTGCAGAGGGCTGGTGCCATTGGGGTCGGTGGTGTCCCCTGGCTTAGGCTCCAGCAGTGCCGCACACATGTTGCTGTTCAGGAGCAGTTGGACCACCTGGATCAGCAAACACAGACGGAGCAGGGCTGCAAAGACGGCTCAGCCGCCCTGAGATGGCCCCCTGAGACCCAGGACAGGGGTGCCCTACCCCTGGTCGGCCCGCAGGACCCAAGAGCAGGAGATGCCCTTGCTGTAGTTCCTCCCTACAGCTGCCCCATGCCATCTACAGGACTCTCCACTCCAAGGAACCCACCACCCGCTTTCAGATCTGCCTTTCAGGGGGGCCCAGCAAAGACTTACCCCAACCCGGCCAAACTCGCATGCCAAGTCCAGGGGCGTCTTGCCTGAATTGTCCATGATGCAGGGGTTGGACTGGTGCTGCAGGAGCATTTCAGACTGTGGGTGAGAAGGACCAGGTACGGTGAGAGCAGGACATGAGCAGGGGCAGGGAGGGCATCAGCCCCACTGCTGTCCCCTGTGCCCCACCACTGTCCGTCCCCTCCTGTGCCCCACCACCGGCCCCGCTGTACCACGTCGTAGTGCCCATGCTGTGCTGCCAGGTGCAGGGGGATCTGTCCCTCATCTGATGGGATGTTCACAGAGGAGCCTGCCTTCAGCACCATCTTCATGGGCTCCTTCTTGCCTTGCCAGGCCGCATAGTGCAAGGGCCGCATGCCTACAGGTGAGCAGGAGGAGCAGCAGTGAGCCCTGCAGGGCACAGAGATGCTCCTGGGCAAAGACTGCAAAGGGGGCAGAGGGTGAGGGGCATGGGGCAGGACCCCAGGAGGGATGCAGCCTCCATGTCATAGCAAAGGGCATCCTTCACTTCCCACCCCAGTGCGCTCGCAGCCAGGCACAGTGCTCTACCCTGCATACCAGACCCAGGGTGGCACAGCCACAGGCACTCGCCTTTGTTATCCTTGATGTCCACCGCAGCCTGTGCCTCCAGCAGCAGCGAGATGAGCTCTGTGTTCCCATTGAGTGCTGCATGGTGCAGGGCAGAGAACCTGGGGAATGGGCGCAGTGTCAGGAGGGGCTCAGGCACTGTCCCTGTGGGCTGTCCACTCCAGCCTGCACCCACTGCAGCTCCCAGAGCACCTACCCTGCTCCTGCCAGCCTCCCTATGCATGCCTCTGCACTTCGTTGGCACCAAGAGAAGGAGCTGCCATAGGGACCAGACCCAGCCAATCCATATTATTTTGCTTTATTATTGTTATTTAGCATTTAGCTCTGGGAGTCCCAGGACTGGAGGCGAGAGGCCCAGCACTGCCAGGGAAGCGGCTGGCACCAGGGAACCCCTCCCTGCTGACCCACTTCCCCCAGCCTGGCCCCAGCGGCGCGACCGCAGGCAGCAGCAGGGGGGGCCCAGGCTGCCAGATGGCCACAGTGCCCCTGCCCTGTGCTGGGAGCTGGGGAAAGCCCCTCGTCCCACTGCACCCAGCTCTGCTCCCACCCGGCAGGCGCTGACCTACTTGCTTCTGGCAGCAGCATCCTCTGCAAGGCTGCACTCACCGCCCCACTGCTCCAGGCAGCATCCCCATCCCATTCTTTTGGTTACCTCAGCACCAACAAAGCATGGGATCTGCTGACCCTGAAGGCCCCATGTCCAAACTGTGGGCAGTGAGTGGCAATCCTGCCACCCCTGCAATCATCATGACCCCCAGCTGCACAGGGTCACATCCTCCCGTCCCCGCTCGGCAGCACGGTATGGCACCGCGGCCCCACTGCCTGTGATTCCCCATCCGCTCTCCGTCGGGCGCTGCGATGAGAGCAGACAGCTCGCTCAGGAGGCCGATCCCCAGCGTCTGCCTGGAAATGTCAGCGTTTTCCGCTCCAGCGCCCTGCTCAAATCGGCTCAAGATGGTGCAAATCACAACACCCCCCCTTCCCTGCTGCCCCTGGGCTGCCTCGGAGGCTTCTCCCACAACGGCAGGGAGATCTGCAGAGCTGTGCAGGGCCTGATGAGAGCATAGGGTCACCTGAGTATCAGCCTGGGAACCAGCAAGTGCTGCAGAGATGGGGAAACTGAGGCACAGCACTGGGACAGCTGAACTGCTGCAGGACTGCTCCTGCACACCCTGAGCCCATCAGGAGTTTGCAGGCAGAGTGCAGGCTCTCTCTATACCACCCCAGCCCCCAGAAGGCCTTGCATAAAGAGGAGCCATGGGTGACACAGCCCCCATCCTGCCCACGCAGCCATGTGCCTTCCCCAGTGCTGCCCAGCATACCCATACATTGCTCACACATACAGCCACGCTTGCATGCACACATACTCTCAGATGCACATCTGCATGCTGGTGTGCACCCATGCACGCAGACACATGCCCAGAGCTGACGCCCCAGCAGGAAGAAGGAATGGGTGCTTCCAAAGCACCACCATCACTCAGGGCATGAGAGGCAGGGGCTGGCAGAGCAGGAGCACAGCACACCGTGTCCTTCAGCCCTCATCTCCACTGCTATGCATGGCTGGTACACACAAAGCCACCTGCACATGTGCAGTCACGCTATCCGCATTGCACCAAGGATACCTGCATGAGATCCCCCACTCACTGCACCCCACAACATGCAAAGCCCATAGCATACACACTCAATAACATGCGCACCCGGAGCGGGGTCACACTCACCCATCGGTGTCCTGGAAATTGACATTGACTCTCTTTGCTGATCCAAGGAGCTCTGGGAGAGAGGAAGAGCAGACAGCCCGTTAACCAGGAGGCAGAGGCGGCACAGCTGGGCACAGAGTGTGCTGGGGAGGGTGACACGGCTGCTGGTGGGTTTTGCAACTTCTCCTGTAGGTTTTGCTGGCTACAGCCCAGGGCCAGGTGTGGCATGGGGCTGTGAGGAGCTGCCCCAAGCTTGTGGGTGCTGCAAGCATAAGGATTGAGGTCTGGACAGAAGGGTGGCCATCCACAGCATTTCAGGCCCAGGAAAAAGTTGCTCCTGCAAGCATCAAAATGCCCAAAGCAAATAGCTCTGGGTAGTGCTGCTTTACCCACCACCACTTGCTGACAGCCCCACAGCTGACATGGGGTTTCCCTCCCATTCCCTTACCCACAGGACTCTGCCACACCTCAAACCTCATGGTGCTGCCCTGCCTTCCTCTGCTCTGCCCGACTCCAACCAAAGGCGTGGGGGAATGGAGTCCCTCGCAGCAATCCAATTAGCGCAGCAAGGAGGGATGGAGTGAGATTTACATGAGATTTATCCACAAACGCCAGTCAGGCTTTTCAGTGAAAGTGCTCTTCCTTGTAACAGAGCAGGAACACAACAGAGCCATGGGGACATGGGACACCTCCAAGCTCAGCTGTGGCACCACTCCTGGGGCCTCGAGGAGGAGGAGCGAGGCTGAAGACTTGGCTGAGCTGCAGCCCTCTGAGGTGGGGGGGCACAGCCCAGGGCTGTGCAGCCAGGGGAGGAGGAACAGTGACCCCAGACCACGGGGTGCCCACATCTCCCAGCTGTAGCCATCCGTGTGTGCAGTGCAGCGAGCAGGCAGCAGTGCATCCCCACGCCTTGGGGAAATCATTCACTGAGGGTTGAGGAAAAGCAGATCACAGGCTGCTCCTCTGCCTGGGAGCACAGCCAGGCAAGGTGCTGCAGCACAGGCACAGCCCTGCAAGGGGCAATTTCAGGTGGAGGAGAGAGCACTATGGAAGGGCTGCTGGATCCTTGCTCATGATGCAGGCTGCAATACTCATCAGCACCTGAACACAATATTCAGTTATAGAACACAGAGGGCTGTGTCAGCACACCGGGCACAGCAGGATGCTCACCAGGTGCGGGCAGCAAGCAGCTGCTGCTGGCCCACCGTGGGGTCTGCATGCGCCAGTGGCTAGTGGCTCAGAGTGGGGTCCCAGCCCCCAAAGGCACCCTGCTCTGTCACCAGGGTCTCTTGGCACCCACCAGCACACTTTAAGGGATGCAGAACCGGGGTTGGGGGGGGCTGTACCCCCTTACCTGTAGCAGCATTGTGCCCTCAGCCTTGTCCCATTCAATCAATGCAGCATAGGACAGGTCTCACTGCAACGCAGGTAAAGCCAGTGCTGAGCAGCCAGAGTCTCTCCTGGCACGTAAAGCCCTGATTGAATTTTAAATCCCAGTCCGTGTGGTGCAGACAGGGCCAGGCGCATGCAGATGAGGCACCTGGGGATGGGGATCAGGCTCTGCCATCCCTGTCCAAAGCCAGCGCTGTGCATGGCACTGACCCACATGGGCCCCACAGCTTCATCCCAGCTAACTGACCCCTTCATGTATGTCTCTTTCCTGCAGAGGGAGGGATACGCCTGGTGGACGGTACCAGGCACTGGGAGAAGTTTCTCTCTGCCCACGCGGATGCTGCCAAGCTCTGTTTGCCCTCGCTCCCTCCTGCGCTCCATCAGCCGCCAGACAGCCCAACAAGCCGTACATTTGCTAACAACAGCGCAGCCCAGGGCCGATGGATGATAGATAAAGAGGATGGCTTCTGAATAGCAACAAATAGCAGCTCCCATCCATCAGATTCACAGCATCTTCTCCTGGCACAGTGTGACCAGGCAGCTACATGGTGGGTGGGGGCACCACAGGGTCCCCACGGCATGGGGAGGGCCAGAGGCCCCCAGTACACCCGGACCAGACCACTTGCTCCTTCTTCCCAAAAACCACACCATTAGAGCATGCCCCCCATGGCAAGGCAGCCCCCTCACCCTGGCAGTTCACCCTCCTTAACACAGTAACAAAACCCTCCAGCAACAAATCCCCATTGGTGCAGCCGGACCTCAGGGATGTGGCAGCCCCACGTCCCATCCCAGTTGCAGCAGAGCCTCAAGCACCAGGGCTGAGTGGGTGCCCGCCAGCCCATGGCTGCCGCCAGGCTCCCCAACAAAGGTGCCATTCAGGGCTGGTGGAGAGGTGCCCAGGGCTGCTTCCGCTGCCCGCTGCTGCCCCAATGAGCTGCTCCCAGTAGAGGGGCCGAGCCGCCCTGCAAGATGCAAATCGCCAGCGGACAAAGGCAGCAGGCTGGCACGCAACACTGGGTCCAGTCTTCAGCCCTGGCCCCAGGATGGGCCCCGCTTGCAGGACAGACAGATGGACAGATGGATGAGTGGTAGCAGGGCCTGTCCTCTCCCACAGGCTGCTCCCAGCGAGGGGCTTCCCCAGGAGATCAACACTGTGGGGTGCAGCAATGATGCCAAGATGATGCCGATCCCCGTGCAACCACTTTTGCAATCTCAGCTGGGATCAGCACAGGCTCATTTCCCAGCCAGCAGCTTCTAATTATCTCCTATTAAGACCCAAAGTGCCTTCTTTAAAACCAAATCAGGGATGCAGCTCCCCGAGGATGCAGCAGCTCAGCCTTCAGCTGCAGGCAGGGAGCAGCAGTGCCGGTAGCATGAGGGGCAGCAGCTATCACCGCTGTCCCCACCCAGCCCGGGGCTGCTGTGTCTGCCTGCAGGGACATGCACAGTGACAGCCCTGTCCTCACAGGGCAGTGCCACATGGTGCCCAAGCTGCAACCCCAGCTTTGGCCAAACCTGTGCTGGCCGAATGCTGAATAAACCAGAGCAGAGAAACTCTTCTCTCTGCACCTGCAGAAGAGGCTGCCACTGCCAAAATCTGTTTAGCACTTCAATAAATGCTCGTGCCAAGTGCTTAGTCAGTGACTTCCAGCCGCGCAGCGGTTTGACTTTTGTTAAAGCTCTGGCAGCAGCGGAGCACCCGCCTCACTCTGGCAGGGCTGCAGCAAGCACGGACCCCAGCACAACTCCTCAGCTTCTAACAGCTGGGCTGGGAGGCAGCTCACACTGATGGGATAACATCCTCAAATGGGCTGATGGAAATTGGAGTGGCTGCCGGTGTCCCCAGGAGGAGCAGTTGGGGGTGGTTCTGTGCCTCCCACAGTGCACCCCCGGGTGCTGCTGGCAGCCAGGTGCCCTCTGGCACAGGGGTGGAGTGCACGGATGATGGCTGGCACCCCTGCAGCCCTCACCATGGCTTCAGATGGCAGGAGCCAATGCAGCTTTGTCTCCAATAGAGAACCAGCCCTGTGCCTGCACCAGGGCCCTTACCAGAGCTTTGCAACAGCAGCAGGCAGGTCAGGGCTAGCAGAGCACCACACCAGCTAGGAACACCAAGGCTCCTGGGGGCTGTGGGGAAAACCCTTAAGGGTACATGACCCCATAGCCCTACAATTAAGCCCTTCTTGTAACGAAGACCCATACTTGACCAGTACAGATGCTGTGCTGGCTCTCAGAGATCCAGCCAACAGCACATCCTGGCACGGGGTATGGCAGAATGGTGCAGAAAGTTTAACTATGCAGCTAGAGCATGGCTGGATGCTCGCAGCAGCCAGGGGCTCGGGGTAGGACGGATGTCCCAGGATCAGGAAGGCACTCCATGCATGCTGCCAGATTTGCAGCCTCAGCCATGGCGTGGGATGCAGACTGCTCAGAGGGGGCAAGACACAAGAGAGCTCATTAATGGCACACAAGAACCAGGAAACTCCAAATAACGAGGGAGAAGAGAAGGAGCAGAGAGCGCTGCCAATTAAAAAGAGCAAACACAAAAGGCAATGGGCAGATGGGGAGGAGAGTGCAGTTCTGCACAGCCGCTGAGCCTGCTGCCACCTGCGCAGCATCTCACCTGCACCCAAGCAGTGATGGGGAACACCAGGCACACACAAGCACTCAGTGCTTTCCAGCAGTACACCATCTCCTTAGGGCATCCCCATGTCCCCACAGACTGTTCTGATGATGGATGTGCCATGCGGGAGCACAAAGCTCCCTGGGCCTGGCTCCCTGCTCTCCCTCACTCCATGGCCCAGCAGTTGATGTCTGTGTATCCTGCAGCAACGTGGGGACTTGGTAATGCGAGGCAGGGCAGGACCCTATCAGAAGAAGGAACTACACTGCTCCTGGGATCCAGCAAGCCTAGCACGGCCGGACTGTCTCCAGCCAGAGATTGCTGTGCACGCAGAGAGACGCAGACATCTGCCATAGACACTGACTATAAACAGAGTCTGCTGCGTGTAAACACCGCCTCGGGGAGCTAATCCCAGCTACTACTCTCATAAATGCCTTTACTTAAATGACGGGATCACAGTAGCTAAATGTACGCTTGGATTCAGAGCCCGGCGCGCAGGAACCAACCCCATCCTCCCGCCCCACGCGCTCCTGCAGGGCAGGATACAGTGAGCACAGCACAAGCAGCTGCATGTGCAGGGCTGCATTTGCAGGGTGAGCCATGCTGCCCAGCCAACTGCATCCCAGTGCCATTGCTCTGGGCACCCCAGAGCTGCCTGCTCCCCCCAGGTTGCATTGGGGTGATCACAGTGTGCCAGCTCGCAGGGAGCGGGCGTCTGCATCGAGAAGGTGGCTCCAACCTGCTCCACATCAACATCCATCTAATGAGGGGAAAGCTGGGCTGCCCCTCTGCCTCCCCACCTCAGTGGCCACTAATGAGCCCAACATAATGGGATGACCCCACGGATTCCCTTTGCTTCGTACGTCCACTCCCAGCCCGGCCACATCCTGCCAGCACCATGTTCCCATCTGGAGAGCACAGCAATAATTTCAGACGGTGCGGGGGGATCCTGCAGCAACATCGCTGTGAGCTGCCAGATAAAGGAAGCATCCAAAATAGCTGCTCTTAATTATATCCTTGCTGACGAGTGCCACACAAACAACGGGCGCTGAAAGCTG